TTATTTTAAAAGCTCATTTTGGGGGCATCTGCTGGCTCAGTGGTAGAGCATGTGTCTCTTAAACTCGGGTTGTGAGTTCAAGACCCACGTTGGGCATGCAGCTTACTGTAGAAAATACAGAAAGAAAAGTTCATTTTGTAATTTGTCTAGTGTATCCTGTGCATCAAGTTTTTCTCGATACTTCAATTTTTAATTATTCAACTTATTTTTAAGTATTTATATTTCCAATACAAATATTTGATGTAGTTTGTAGGTTTTGGGTTTTTTTCATAAACTAGTGTCTTTTTTATGTTACAGGTATTTATGAGATTAGTACTTTATTTAACTAGTAATTTATTAGTAGTTCAACTTTCAAATCTAAATTTTGAATGACTCTCTTACCTTAAAGACTGCTCTGATCGTTTGTCTTCAGGGTGGATATGTACGTTTCCCCTCTTATTAAAGTCCCCTGCACTTATAAAGAGTGCAGGGAGTGGGGCTCAGGTCATGATCCCAGGATCCTGGGATGGAACCCCAATGGGGGATCCCTACTCAGTGGGGAGCCTGCCTCTCCCTCTCCAGTTCCCACTACTTGTACACACACACACACACTCTCTCTCTCTCTCTCTCAAATACATAAGTAAGTAAAATCTTAAAAAAAATATCTGGGTGTGCCTGGGTTGCTCAATTGGTTAAGCATGGGACTCTCCATTAGGATCAGGTCATGATCTTGGGTTCCTGGTATGGGGACTTGCTCAGACCTCCACACCCGTCAGGGGAGTAGGCTTGGGGACTTCTGTTCCTTTCTCTCTGCCTCTTCCCCCTTCTTGCTTGGGGTGTGCGAGAGGACACACAGGTGCTGTTTCAAATAAATCTTAAATATCTGTAGTGCAATATAGCTTATAATGCATACTATATCCTCAGTATTCAGTGTTTATATTTTATTTTTAATGGTACTCTGTGTAGACTTGAAGTTCATTTATAAATGTCCTAATCTACGAAATTTAGGGCTTTGAGCTTTTAAGATGTTTTTCATTTTTATTTTGGTAGTGATCATATCTCTGCTGTGTGTACTATTCACTTCTTTGAGCGGAAGAAAATTTTTAAAGTTCTGTTGTAAAATGAAAGAGTTTAATGAGCTGTTCATGATCTACACTCTTATCAGCATGAAATATTGCTTATTATGTTCAAGTATAAGATTTTGCACTGTGAGGAAAAAGTCATGATTATGTTTAATAATGGAGAACATTTGAAAATCCCTTTTACTTTTAAGGAGGTTGAAAATAATTACTTTAGTCCAAAATAATATGAGAAATTTGAAAAGAATGCTGAATTGTTCTATTAGAACGTTCTGTATTGATTTGAGATCATAGCGTGCATTTAGTTTATAGTTTCTCTAGTCATCTTAAACAGGGTTGTGTTGGATGAGGTAGACTGCGAAATGCAAGACAAAGTGCAGGGTGCCAACACTATCCTATTCAATATTCCTTTCTGAGACTAGTTGTTACCCGACACCTATGATTTCATTTTTGTTTATTTTACTAAATCATATTTTACGAAAAAATAGTAGGGCTATTTTATAAAAAAAATAGTAGTAGATAAAAAATAGTTTATCATCTCAACTTTGGTCCTTAACAATACTTTTTCCTTTCTGTATGCAGGCTGAGTTTTTATTCTGTATGTGCTTCACAAATAGCTTCTAATAAAATGTGAAATCTCTATTCAAGTTTAGGAACACCAAAAAGACAGTTGTGGCAGGAATTTAAGCACGACATTGCCTATTTATGTTAATACTTCCCACGGCCAGTCTCCTATTCTCAGAGATTACAGATGATAAGTTAATGCAGAGTATTTCAACTTGCATATAGAATTCCTTTCCCTTATATCTGCCTTCTCTTTACTCCCCCCTTTTAAAATTTTATTTATTTATTTATTTATTTGACATTGAGATTGAGAGAGAGAGATAGATAGATCACAAATAGGCAGAGAGGCAGGCAGAGAGAGGGGGGAAGCAGACTCCCTGCTGACCAGAGAGCCGGATGCGGGCCTCCATCCCAGGACCCGGGGATCATGACCCAAGCCAAAGGCAGAGGCTTAACCCACTGAGCCACCCAGGTGCTTTTTCTGCCCTTTATAATGTCACTTTTCCCCTCTTGCAGAAAAGTCTTATCCAAAGGTATCTCTTCATGTGAGCAATTAATGAAACACAGAATTGTGTGTTTACCAATTTATTACTATTTATTTTACTTCACTTTTTTGGGGGACATGTTTAAAACACAAACATTCACCAAAAGTTTAGTACAACCAGTTACCATTTTATCCAGCAACCTAATAATTTTAAAGTCTTTGGAGGAGGAAATGCAGATAGGGGAGGAAATGAGGTGAGATTTCAGGAGTAGTTGAGAGATAGCAAAGACACATTTTACTGTTTTTAGTTTGCCATTGTATTCCTCTATCTGTTTTTATTTTTTAAAGATTTTATTTATTTATTTGAGAGAGAGAGAGTACAAGCGGTGGGAGTGGCAGAGGAAGAGGGAGAAGCAGGCTTCCTGCTCATTCCAGGATCCTACAATCAAGACCCGAGCGGAAGGTGATGCATAACTGACTGAGCCACCCAGGTGCCCTGTCTCTGTTTTATGATAAATATTTTTAAGCAATTCATGGATAGTTTCTTTCATTTAACTCAGAATTATGGAAATTTCAGGATGAAATAAAAATATTTCAAGTTAAGGATTAAACATTCTTGCCAAAAAGGAAATTAGTCAATTTCTTTTAAAACCATGACATCTTGAGGTAGCTGGGTGGCTCAGTTGTTAGCGCCTCTGCCTTTGGCTCAGGTCACGATCCCTGGGTCCTGGGATCCAGCCCACATGAGGCTCCCTGCTCAGCAGGAAGCCTGCTTCTTCCTCTCCCACTCCCCCTGCTTGTGTTCCCTCTCTTACTGTCTCTCCCTCTGTCAAATAAATAAATAAAATATTTTTTAAAAAACCTGTGACAACTTAGGAGTGCCTGGGTAGCACAGTTGGTTAAATGCCTGGCTCTTGGTTTTGGATTGGGTTGTGATCTTTTGACTTCGTGAGATCGAGCCCCACATAAGGCTCTAGTCAGCATGGAGTTGGCTTGAGTTTCTCTCCCTCTGCCCCTCCTCCCAGTGCTCTCTCTCTGAAATAAATAAACGTAAAAACCCTCTAACATTTTAATTGTATAATCATATTTAATATAATTTTATTAAATGGCATTAAAATGATGCTAATCCTGAGTACTCTGTGGCTCTTGATGGCATAGTATTTGTTATAGTCCATTTTAAGATGAGTAACCAACCCATTTGGCTTTATTGGTATACTATAATTATTGAGCTATATGATAGCCTTGGTATTCTGAGGGCTTTAAAAACTGTCTTTGATGTGTACTTAACTAATGAAGCAATTCCTTAAGCCAAAAATGGAATGGACCTCCAGCCTGTCATATTCCCAAAGGGACTAGATTATTTAAATCAGCAAACACAAGGAGTCATGTCTTAGTCATGTCTTTTTCTGAATTTAGTAACCCACACGTGCTAAAAAAGTTTTTGCTCCTCTTTATGCAATGTCTTCAGTTTATGGCTTCCACAACTTAAAAAGAATTACAAGTAGTTAGAACTATAAATCTTTTGCATAGATTTATAATCATTGAATCCCTATTTTTAGAAGTATTCCAAATGAAGACTGCAGCTCACTTTCTCATAAAAACCTAAGATTGCCATGGGTAGCCATTTACAATTTTTTTCAGTAGAGAAATTTGGTATTTTCCCAGTGGCTGCCATCTTATCAGAAGGATTTCAGATATTGGATAGTTGGCTTCTTAACAGTCTTGAGAATGGTTTAAATATTTCTCTTTTACTATAAGACTGATAAGCTTTATTGTAATTGGTAGTTGTGATGCAAATTTCCACATGGTTTTTGCACTGGAGATAAGAACAGGAAAATAAAAATTGAGTAAATGAATTAGATTTAGAATGCTTTTATACTCTAGTCTCTGTAAACCAATTCTGGAGTAAAATGGATATAAACAAACAGAAAATATACCTTGAATTCCTGATTCAGTGAGTTTTCCTTGGGAGGCTTAGAAAGTATTTTATAAATAGCAATGGATGTAATGTGAATTTAAGTTGTCCTTCAGGATGGAAACTACAACATTCATCCTGAGCAGATGCAATAATTGAAAAAGCTTTAAAATGAGCCAACAATAAAAATGCTTTGTATTTCTCGGAGTCAGTACTTGGTAAATTCATTAATATCAAAGAAAATACATCTTTGGATAAACTGGTAAGTAGCTTGCATTTCAGTATTGATTTGAAACACCATTATGTTGAGGTGGTAACTTAAGAGAACTTGTATCTTGAGTTATTCTCCTCACAGTTGAATGAAATGTTTAGAATAATTTAACATAGTATAAGGATTAAGCAATAGAAATTATAGTATTAGCAATGGAGTAAGCTCAACAAGAGGCCATTCCAAAATGATCACTTTCTGAAAATCTAAAAAACACACCATCTCTAGTCATCTACAAGTACGGACTTCTTTTAGTGTTTATATACATGATAATATAGTTAGTTCAGTAGTGCGTACCCTTAGATGTCTATACCCAAGGTAAAACTGATAGGATTCTAATTTGTAAGGCAAAAACCACCTTTAAAGAACCAGTGGTCACACATAAGGAATGTATAAAGAAAGAACTAAAGGCCTACAAATTAAAAATGGAGCAATATATGAAGGAATTATGAGAGAAGCAATAGAAGTGAAAGAAATAGTATAAACACAAACGTACTTCCATTTTGAGCCACAGGATGTCGTTGTTCTCTAAGGAGCGGATTCTTTGAACAGAAGAAAATTACGATAATTCGCGGACCAGAAAGAATCTCCACGGTTCCGGTGTTTTAAAGACTGTGCACACCCATGTTGTTAAGATTAGTTGGGATCTCAGGAACAAGGACTCAAAAGAAAGATCTAAAAGGACTACATTTCTGATGAAATGTTGATTTACTAACGAGAAGCAAAGCAGGATGTTAGCTTCAGGACGAGGTGGCCAGGAAACCCAGCGCTTGCTGCTCTCCGTTCTGCTCCTTGCAGTCTGGGAGGCCGGCAGTGGCCAGGTTCACTACTCGGTGGTGGAGGAGGCCAAACACGGCACCTTCGTGGGCCGCATCGCCCAGGACTTGGGGCTGGAGCTCGCGGAGCTGGTGCCACGCCTGTTCCGAGTGGCATCCAAGGGTCGCGGGGACCTTCTGGAGGTAAATCTGCAGAATGGCATTTTGTTTGTGAATTCTCAGATCGACCGGGAAGAGCTGTGCGGGCGGAGCGCGGAGTGTAGCATCCACCTGGAGGTGATCGTGGACAGGCCGCTGCAGGTTTTCCATGTGGAGGTGGAGGTGAAGGACATTAACGACAATCCGCCTGTATTCCCAGCAACACAAAAAAATGTGTTTATTTCCGAAACAAGGGCTCTTGACTCGCATTTTTCACTAGAGGGCGCCTCTGATGCAGATATCGGGGCCAACGCTCTGCTGACTTACAAACTGAGCCCCAATGAGTATTTCTCTCTGGAAGTACCCACCAACGATCTGGTAAAACCGCTCCAACTAGTACTAAAAAAACCCTTAGACAGGGAAGTCGCTTCAGAGCTTCTGTTGGTGCTCCAAGCAACTGATGGGGGCAAACCTGAGCTGACGGGTAGCACAGAGTTACACATCACAGTGCTGGATGTAAATGACAACGCCCCAATGTTTGACAAAGCAGTCCATCGTGTAAAATTACCGGAGAATTCGAGAAACGGTACACTGGTTATTAGACTTAATGCATCGGATTTGGATGAAGGTTCAAACAGCCACATTCTTTATTCATTTGCCGCTGATGTCTCTTCTAATACAGAAGACTTTTTCCACATTGATTCGGCCAGTGGAGAAATAAAAGTAAACGGAAAAATAGATTTTGAAGAAACTAAATTATGGAAACTTCAAGTAGAAGCAGTTGACAAAGGCCATCCCCCCATGTTTGGTCACTGCACAATCTTGGTAGAAATCTTGGACATTAATGATAATGCTCCGGAGTTGCTGGTGACGTCGCTATTATTGTGTGTTCCAGAGGATGCTACATTGGGAACTGTCATCGCCCTAATCAGTGTAACTGACCGAGATTCTGGAGCTAATGGGGAGGTGACCTGCTCACTAACACCCCATGTTCCCTTCAAGCTGGTGTCCACCTTCAAGAACTACTATTCGCTGGT